AGCTCTGACTATGCAGACGAAACAGTCAGCTCCAATAAAGCGGTCTATTTCATGAATAGACAACTGGAAGCACGCACACCTGGAATATATGTAATTATCCACAACACACCGGTAGTCATATATACAATTTCACAATGTCACATTACCAACACTCATATGTAGAGATCAGGATCTCCTAGAGAAAGTAGGAGGGAGGAGTACCTAATGTAACACGGCCGCTAACATAAAATTTGTCTGCTGTCACCAAAAACAGGAGACACTATCGCTTAAACGAATGAGAATGATCCAAAACGTACTGCTGGAATGATAGTGCTCTAGTCCTTTGGGTCATCCTAACAGAACTGCTCATCAAAATGGCAGCGACAAAATAAACGACCAGTTTCTCTTCTGTTAGGAATCATCACATTTTGAATTTACTGCCTGCCAACATGGTGCTCCCTTTTTCAGCCGGAAGGCCTAAGGGAAAACTTCAGGGTGTTCTTCGACCTGAATAGTAGGCTGCCTCCCAAAATGAAATTCGCAAGCAACAGGAACCCCACTGGTCGGGTGAAAAACATCCATTAACCCCCCTTAAAAAATCAGCGTCCTTCCCCTGTGAAATTCAGAGGTGTCAGAGAATGAGGAGACAGAGAGTATCGGAATCCAATGAATTTCTACAGTTATTCCAAATCAGTCAGAACCGAGCGACAACAAATAATGAGACTCATGTAGTCGTTAGAAATATATTGGATCACTGGAGTATGATGTTATTCAAGATATTGGACATCATGCTAAAAAGCTGGCTCTCAAAATAAATACATTTCTTGCGAAAACAAAAGTACGATATGAAAACTGATTGCAAATATTATCGAGAATGTATATCAATGAAAACTGCTAATATTTATTTAGAAGAAAGCTTGGATTGAGCCAGCAATAATCCTTGAGCGGTTAGAAGTCACAACTTAATTCGACGGTGGAAATTTCCCTACTGAAACATATAATATTCTTCGTCCGTTGACAATTTTTAACGAACTGTTCATTTCAAATGGTTTTCAGAGTCCCACTGCTGCATACATAGTAGTGTTTCACCACAGTGTCATTCTGGTCCGATCGGCTTCATTTTTGTTTACCATTTCGAGATGTAACAACAATTCGTAGTATATTTCTGAGGACGGCTGTATGCTGACCTGCCCGCCTGGCTGTATATCTTTCGTTCTGTCACTTGCTGGCGAAATTACCACTCCTACATGTTAGTCTGTACAGTTCATTAGCTCAAATGGTCTCCCAAAAGACATTTCCTGACCGTTTAATTGATTTGAAAGCATCATTTTCCCCAGAATGTGTATGTATTTTGAATTTCTCTATTTCCTGAACTAAGATCAAGTTTATCACTTCCAGTTCTGAAGGAAAATTGAGTTAGTTTCGGTCGAAAAGCATTCTGTTGAGCTACACTGCATTCGTACCATGGAGATGACCGTGTATTACGAAACACATGCATTCAGTATACCTGTTATCAGTGTAGAGGATCAAGCGGATTTTAGTGTGTGTTGAATATGCTATAAAATCAGTGTTATCAGTAAAAGCTGATCCACAAACCTACATTAATCAGAGAATGTCATCAAGATGGATCCGGGTAAGCAGGTTCTGACTTTGTTGTTTAATTACGTGTTATGTGAGTAAGTATGGTGAGCGACGATCGAAGTATTTGCGGCAGTTTTTTCTAGATTTAACAGAATTATGGAGGAAATCATGAAAGTAGAAAGCAGGCTGAATAATCTTCTCATGAAGAACTGGAGAAGCATATCAAAGATCAAGCAAATCTATTAGATAGCTGAATATTTCATAGTATTTTTTCCACAACACAAATTGATGGGTTACCTTGCTATGTCTAGTGCACTCCATATAAATGAGCTTTGTTGCTGCAACGCTAACTACATAGATATTTTACAATTTTTAAGGTAAACTTAATGTCCTAGTCGTTTGTAATAACTACTTACACACATGTATGCATGTATAAAGATAACACTGCCAAGAAAGTCCTCTGGTATCGATGTTACCTTATGGGAAACATCTGTCAGAAGAGCTATTAATGTGCAGCATACTGTATGATTAGGACGGTGTCAAGGCAGTTCAATGCTACAATTACAGTTATTTCAAAAATTTTCAGAGCTTAACATCAAAACGCGAAAGAGGGTGGTCCATGCCGATCACCAGATGTGGTAGTGGTCATAAATGTGAGTCGTTTCCATATGTAGAACAGCAACATGCATTTTTGACAGCTCGAGAATTAAACAATAGTCTGGATCCTTAACAAATATACAACAATGGTTGTACAGACCTAAATTATAAGAAACTCCCCTGCTCCTACCATCTTCAAGCCTGTTCAGCTTCTTGTCTACACAGTGGGCCCAAAAAAATTAGTAAGACAATGCATGCCATTTTTACAGCCCCGATCAGCTACAATCCTTAAGTATCATTAATTATTATATTTAATAGTCGTGGTCTATTAGACGAGCCAGAGTGAACAAGTAAATGTGTCTTTCTAGGCTCCATTTGAAACCTTAGGGCTCTTAGAAAGATCTTATATAAGATATTAGGTGGTTCCAAAGTTTGTAATAATTAGTGATGTGTAATTTGCCCATTTTAATATACTTTTGTGAAATTTATAATCTGAAAAACTTCGTAGTATTTTATTAATTTGTTTTTGAACACATAAGGGGTCCTTAGTATATGAACAGCTATAGCCTGAGAGTATTTTATCACGATCTTCCATATTCTTGGCTTCGTAAAAAGCCGGTGGCTGTACCAGCGTTTGTCCTTTTGAAAAATGATTCAGTTAACGGAGGCCATGTTTAGTCTTCATAAAGGGTAGTAAAATTTGTCTTGTATCGACGCATTTTCTCAGACTGTCTACACTTTTTATATGTGAATAGGATACTCTGCATAACAGCTTCCCCCAGCTGGATTTAGGATAATGTGTCGCCCCCTGAGATGCGTTGAAAAATTAAAGTGGAATTTCTAATATTCACTAAGGCTCAGCTTCACAGTTGTTGTCCCTGAATATCGATTTATTAAATGGTTAGCTTATGATAAACAGTGACTTATCTCGAGAGTCACTCGGTGAATTACACTTCCATCCTACAAGTAAATTATTGTGAAGGTTAGAAGACATTACCGTTAATATCCTTAAGACTGCGAGAGACTTTAAGAAGGTTCTGAAATGGCCTACAGTGTTATGGTCTCTTCATAAGGATCTCACGGTAGCATATCTAGATGTGATTCTGGGAATACTCAGAATATAATTTCGGCCAGTTAAGAATGTGAAGGTGATGAAAATATACTGTGTATTATTTATGAAGTTGACATTTTAAAATTATTTATGTGCTAATTTAATTGTTAAGCGCACTCAGGCTCAGAAATTCATGAACATAGTTTCAGTATGTTCCATGAATTTTTTGAAGTCTCGACTACAAGTTTTGCGGAACAGTTTCTCCAAAATACTTGAATGGTGGCATTCCTAAGGCTGTATTTCAAGTTTAGAGCGCATAAGTTTGTTTCAATTGGACTTCAAGGTCAAAGGTATTTTTTCTATGATTCTACCTGAAAACTTTTGAAAGTTGAAGGACATGTTACACGGTTTGTTGATATAATTCATTGTGATTAGCCTCATATTCTTTCAGTATTTGGTACATAGAGACATGTAGAATGCTCATGTAGGTTTTCGATAAATTAAAGCAAACACTAGATCAGTTGCAATTCTTAGGTTTACACCGTAAACGCATTTTTACCCAAACATGACCCTCCTAGGATCCATTAATGATATGCAGAACTAGATGAGAAATTTGATCACTTGAATTTAGTTGGTCGTTAAGGGTCGTACATTCTTGTGGTTGCTATTGTTAAATTCCGCAGATGTTTTTGTAATAGCAAATTAATTTTTAGACGATAATTTTGGTATTTTTTGGCGTTGTTATTGATACTTCGTCCAAGTGCTACGTTATTGCTCTAAATTTTAAAGTTGCAAGGGATGACGAAACCCTCTGGCATCTCTTTCTTAAGGAGCGGTCTTATATATCAACGCTTTAATGCGTTCTACCAATAACAATGTCTGTATCTCCTAATGTTGTTTTGCTTCCTGTCCCTAATCATCAGTGTGAGTCTGTGCACTAGAAATAAACATAAAATATGACCCAGGATACAAGAGTCGTAATTTTCCCAATGGATTCCCAGTCGGTTACTTTTTTTGTGGACCTGGGATATGTGGGTAAAAACGTGGGTAGTTTTCCGTTTAAATGTGGGCAAAGTGGGATAAGGTGGGCTGTTTTCGTTTGTAACATGGGCAAAGTGGGCATAAGTGGGCTGTTTTCTAAAATGACATGGGCAAACGGGGAAAAAGTGGGTATATTTTGAATTCCTGCACATGGGATAAATGGGTGAAAACGTGGGTTACGTGGGAAAACTGGGAAAAGGTGGGACAAACAAATTTTATCTGGACATGGGAAAACGGGGAAAAAGTGGGAAATGTGGCCAAAGTGGGTAAAATCGGTTGCATTTACACCATCTTTTGCCCACGTGTTTGCCGATCTAAATTACCCTTTTATCCCACGTTTGCCCATGTGCATTAACCGACTGGGTTGTCTATTTATCTGTCTTATGTTGGGGATGAAATAACTTTTCCACTTCGTTGTATTATCTAATGAGGATGTCGCCTTAATTATAATTATTACCACTTCAAAATGTAGCTTTTCATGTTAATAAAAAGCCTATTTCCTAAGTTTTTCACTTTCAATAAGCTGTTTTAAACATATTTAAATTATCAGTTACATTACAAATGACATGCCCTATAGTATTTACCTGTGATGTCTCTTTTTCGTTTACAAACTGCTTTCATATAAAAGGCACTAATATTTACTGATTGGATTTTGCAAAACCGTTCAGATACCATCACCTGTCTATTGCTGTAAATAAACCCAGTTGTTTAGTCAAAGTGAAGAACATCTTTATTCACAATTTTTTAATTAATGGACAGGTAAGACAGTATTTTTTAGTATATCTTTCTATAGCCCATTGAAAGTCACTCACATAGTGGTAGTTGATTACTATTTTGTCTGGTATATTTGAGATTTAGTTGGGTTAAATAAGACCTTTTAGTCAACAGTGGGAGATAAGCAAAAGTCCTAAACATTTTGTATGTATTTATAAAGTTGTTTTAGTCAGAACTTACAGAAAAATGCCTCGATTTACTAAAGGTGGCATGTAATATTTGTAATAAAGTAATATTCTGACACCGGGAATATCTGGAGTGTACCTTCCACCTTATATTCAATATTGTTTGTTGACTAGGTACGAAATTGTGTCCTTTATACCGGTGTGGGGCCTAATGATACTGTCAGATGTTTAATTCTGTCGTAGTCATGGGGAGGCTTAATTCAGGACATAGATCGAAAGTCAAATAAGTCTGCGAGTCAGTCACACTTCTATCCATGACTTCCCTAATGCAATTAATTTCCGACTATCCAGTTTTTATACTTTAAGATATACTGACTTTAAATACGAAAATTACCTAGTTTTACCATGTGAAGGTAGAAAATGCCTTCAGTAATTTAAATACGGCTGACCATCTTTTATTATCACTTCTGTGAACACTTGTGCCACGAAACGTGGGTATATACGCATTCACCAAATATGCAAAATACCAAGAGTTCAAGCATAGAGTTAGTAAATCTGTAACTTAAAGTTTTTGGGTTTCCTTTTCCACAATGTGACCTACCGGCAGCGTTAGCGCTTTAAACTTCCTCCAATATGAATTGAAGAAAAGAAGTTTCATAAAAAATGAATCGTCATCAGCAACAACATTCATTCATTTCATGGAGAAACCCCATCCGGTAGTGAAATCACACCTGAAGTAGAGAGTAAGTCTAAGATTACTTTTTTCAATACGAAGCTACCAAGGAAAATTGATGGAACCTTGAGATCCGTTTATAAAGAGCTGTTATGAAATAGTCATCTGATAATTTATCCATCTTTGTAACAGTTCCAGTATTACTAAGAGTAGGTTTTTCTAATAGACCATTGATTTCCTGCAACCTGTTTGACTTCCTTACTTACTTTACTTCGGCTATCTCCTACGGGAGGATGAGCCGGCTTCATGAACATCTCGAATCATCGCTGCCCAGGCGCGGCGATCTGATGCAAGGTTTTGCGACAGGGTTATCCAATTCTTGTTCCACAGACGGAGTCCGTAGACAGTTTGTAGCCCAGGCACTCCATATCAGCCTTGACTGTACCAAGCCATGTTTTCAGCTGTCCACCCCTGCGACATCGCCATGATGGAAATGGCGAGGGATTTAGAACTGATTTGACCAGATCGTCATCTGGTCGGCGCAGAACATAGCTAAACCACCGAAGGCGACGTTGTTGGATCAGTACTGGAATTTGGTTGATGTTGTAGAGAGTTCATGAAGTTTCATGGAAATCAGGTACGAGTGATGTCCCCAGCATCGCTCGGCCTTTTGTTTGAGAGTGCAGCTCTAGCCTTTACACAACCAAGTGTGACCTACAAGGCAGTAGGAGTGGAGTAGGGAGTCCACTATCCATTGGCAGCCGGTGACCGGAGTCCGGTTTATACGCCTTTTTGAATGGGGCCAGACATCCACGGCATCCAATAAGCCCTTTGTCCATACGTGTGCCGGTGAGCTTCATACGCCAGTCGCTGGAGGTTTGGAATCAGGTTTTAGCCATCTCCCCTAGACTGTCATCCAAGGGACAGTCAACCCGTTGAAGAGCGCCGGGCATCCGCTTTTGCCCTCTCACTTTGGTGAGAAACACCGCCACGTGAAGGCAGTGAGTAGGACTTCCTCAGGAGAGGCTATGTAAGACACCCGGTCATATGGGAGCATTTCAAGAGGTGTACGGAGGGGTGGCCAACCCGCAGTGCAAGGCACCCACCCCCGATCATCCTGAGGCTTTGGAGGCTGTTTGACTTCCTGCACTTGACAAACTCTTAGTTTCCAGTACACGTGCGCCTATGAAGCTAGGTTTGTCGATGGTCCGAGGCGAGTTCTTACAAAAAAGGCACAAGAATGTTGGTTTGCGTAATTACTAGGAGGTGGTAGTGAGGCTGTAAGAAGTTCAATCATCAAACGTCTTGTCACCCATGGTCATTTTATCTCCAGCGTTCTCCTCCAGAATTATCTCTAGAGTGAAAAATGGCTTATCAAAGTCATTATGTATCCTGCCCATCTGTATTACTGAAGCTCTAATCATTAGAATAACGAAGCCGGCGCTTTGTTTACAGAAGAGACTTGTTCAATTACTCATTTACTGGTTCCAATTCGTTTATCTGAAATTGTTAAGTAAAAAACGAAGTCAGAATATTCTTTCTGCTAGTTACGTAACATTATCTCCCTTATGTGCTTTTTGTAATAATTCGTTAACTAAGGATCTTGTCTTATTGTGCAATCCCCTGTCTGTATTTATTCATCGTCACTATACCAATATCGTATTTTAACGAAGACTCACTATTAGGAACAGCTGTTTGTATATTCCGCTAGTTACCATTTACACTAAGCGTAAAAATAGTGGAGTAACTCATGAAAAAGGTATAGAATCGCAATTGTACAGCTGTGGTAGACAAAATCGTCAAGAAGAGCCTCTTTGATGAATCACTTATTTGTATTTTCTGCACTGTTAGTTAATTTTTCTGTCTTTTCTTGTTTATTTATCCGCAGCTTAGATTATCAATATGAAGTTGAAAGCCTACGTTCAAACTTGTTAACAGCGAATAGTGTTGCAACTGAATTAGAAGCTAAACTGAATGATTTACGTATGAAATATGATACAGATTGTTGTAAATATGAAGAAAAGCTTCAAATTCTAACGGAGCGATATGAAAGGTGAATTGTAATTTTCTGTTTGACATTCGTTTTGTTTAAAATTGTCTGTCTTCTAAAGCTAACAAAGTCTTAAATAATGCGCACTTTTATTCACTAAAAAAACTAACAAGAACATTAAATCATGCTATCATCAGTGGTATGTGCGTCGGTGGCACAGTGGTTAGGACTCTCGCCGACCATGCACATGGTCCGGGATTCGAGCCCACGCTGACGCACACCTGATATCTATTGTCGGCCTGCGAAATTTGGGTCACCGATATCCATGCTGAAAATTTCATACTTGTACCAAAAATACGATGTGGAATCAAGCTGTAATCAGAAAAACAAAAATTAAAAAATAAAAAATATTGCATATATATATATATCTGTGAAAATGTGACAATGAATTGATTTCATCTAAAGTGTCGTAAGGATTTATATGAACAACTAGTAACCCTGTTAAAAGTGTACTTGGTCACAACTCGAATGAAGCAATATCCGTATTAGAATTGACTTTTATAATGATTTTTTAGTAGTGTTAGTACGCGATCACTAGCTAGCTTCAGTGTCATTCATTTTAACAATCAAATACAACTCGGTTATTAGTTGAAAATGAAGAGAATCGATCAATAAATATGAGAATTAAAACTCTAAAGAGAATTAAAGAAGTGTATGTGTTCTAGTTAAGAAAAGAATCAGGATCTCTTATAAACCTGTCTATTATTCCTTAATTGTTAATGTTGTTTCAATCAGTGTATTCGTATTGAAATGTATATTTTATATTGTAACAAATAACTTTTAGGATTTTCGAGGTTTGATATAATCTGGAATGTTAATTGACATTATTAAGCATTTTTCTGGGGTGTTCATATCCATAAGAATAATTCTGTCCAAATTTTAGTTCATTCATAAACTTAAATTTTTTTAATAGCTTAGCAAAATGTCTGATATCTTCGGTTCGAAGATTTCTAGTTTTTTATTGTGGATATGTTAATATTTATACTTCTAGTGTTTTCAAAAACTGCTTGAAACCTATTATAATTCCCTTGAGTTCCGAGTGTGACATTGGGCTTCAACAGCACATCTCTATTTCACTCTGTTATTCATGGCCTTTTTTACCCTTATCAGGCTTCACAATTGCTCAGAAGTTTTCATTTATTAATTGATATCACCCTTTGACCTACGCCCAACTCCTTGTCTCCTATTTGGGTTCTGCTTTAGGGCCTGCATGACACGTGATGTCACTTAACAGTCTTCTTGGCTCACGTATAATCCATCCCCATTTCCTTTCGTAATAGTTTATTACCGGAATTCCCTCTGGCTTATCCTATCCAGTTGGCCATCTATTCTTCAATGTCGAGAGGGAGAAAGAGAGACAATAATCACGGAATTTTTCGTCATTAGCGTACTTTGTACACAGTGCACATCGATGCGAATGAAACCTAAAATCTGTGTTTCATCTACAGTAATGCTGCATCAATGATGTATAATTCTAAATTTTATGAGATTGATACATCTTCGTAGATTTCTCATCCTTTGAATATAGTGTCTCTTCTTGAATATTTACAGGGAATAACCCCTGAATATTGAAAAAACTAGTCAACTAATGAGCTTGTTGGATTTATTCAATATTTCATATATATATATATATATATATATATAACTCAAGTTTCGAAGTCGTTTGATTATAACTGATGAGTGATTATGAACAAAAAATTGTGTTCCAAACGTCATCCAATAAATAATACTGTTTCATTGCGTGACATATCTAATAAACCAATTAATATAGAATTACACACTGTCACAGTGCCCAAGTTTTACATGTATATGAAGATAGTGAAAACAAACAATAGCTAATTTCCAGTCAGCAAACATGACCAATCACTGATGCAAAATATTATTGGAGGAATGATCAATATTTCACTAGTGTTCTGATCCTAATAATGATGACTTAATGGATCTGTGAGATCATAAAGATTGAATGCATCTGTGTCACTGAGAACCACTTTGAGGCATGTTATGAAAAATTCCTTAACCAGTGGTTGTTAGCATCTCGAAGATCCCCAGACAAGGCGGTAGTCTGTGCTTCTCTAGGTGACTTAAACCAACAGACGGAGACTGCATGGGTTTAATATCCTATTTCGGTTTTGATCGCCCCTTACTCTTTTTCAACGCAATGCTATGTCACCTAGCATCGCTTGACGAGGAAGGCGATGACTTGGAGAAGACAATTATTAGGTTTGGATTATTGTACCTCAAAAGGATACACAAACATGAAGACAACAGATATAAAGCGATACCATGATTATTAATATTGCACTCTTGGATTCCGAGTGGAGTATACGGCTCCCTCGCCACACCTCTATTCCACTCTGTTCGCTGCAGTCCTGCTGGCTCCACGACTTTTCATAAACTTCCACCTACCCCTGACAATAATATTCTCTATGTTACCTTCAAAGCCATGGCCAACTCGTCGTTTCACCCTCAAGAGCCTGCATGGCACATGATTTCACTCAATAAACTTCTCAGCTTATTTCCAATCCACTCCTATTACCTCCAGCATAGGTTCTCGGATGGTTTGTTCCTAGAGTTCCTTGTTGCTTACAAATATATGGACATGCATCAATCTGAAATCAATGGCGAAATCTACTACACCAGTTAACTCGATCAGATCTCAGTTTTATAAACTCAACGCCACTATAACTTTCTTTGTCTAATATTTTTACTACTATTTGTTACTGTTTCTTTCTGTCATTCATTGCTGACATACTAATAAACTCAGTTAATGTATTAAATTTGGCTGTAGTGGTTCTATTAATTGACAGTAATTTCGTATTTCTAGATGGACAACGTTTTAGTCTTCTCTGTTACAGTCGCTGTCATCAGTATTCACTGGTAGCTATTTAAAAAATATTAGTTTTCTTTTCTTGTCTAACTTATACCAAATTCGCTCTTGGATTAATTCTTACACTGTAGACATTTGTATTTAAATGATTGGTTGTCATATTGTCATATATTATTTCATAATACATCAAAAGTTGTGTGAAATTTTTCACCAAATCACTCACTACAAGTTGTTCATCTTTTTTGGAGTTTAGAAAACAATATAATTAACGCGGCTCAGTTGATTAGTCTCTGTATACAAATGAGTGTGTGTGTGCGTGTGTTTGTGTTAACCTGCATCTAATTTGTTTCTGTTCTACTAAGTAAGTGTGTCCTTTTCAAACTGCTGACTATTGTTAATATCGATAGTATTATGGTTGTATTAGTAGATAAAATAATTATGGACATGTGTTCACACCTTCGAAATCATGCACATTTCAACTTATGGATATTTTCAAGTATTGGTTTTGTAGGGATTTTGTTTGATTGGTTGGATGATTTCATCTTGAGCTGAAATCAGTTAGAGAACCATTGGAAAATCTGCCTAGGAGTACTGGACGGCTGTTTCGTCCTAGTTCGGGACTCTTCACAGTACGCACATACAATGTGGGGTTCGAACCCAGGACCTTCTGGTTACAAGGCTGGTGAGCTCGTAGACCATTAAGCTACTGGGACCTGATCCAGCGAACAGCCCATGAATTCTAACTTCCTCCAATTCATGACAGAGCGCAACCACTTCGCTCTGTCTTCTTCGATGAGTTACTGCCCTACTTTCAATCTGCTGTACCCCCTTAGAATTCATGGGCCATAGGATCGTGTCCCAATGGCTTAATGTTCTACGATCTCGCCTTGTAATCAGGTCCTGGGTTCAAACCCCCACAATGTGGGTGCGTACCGACGAAAAGCCCCAAACTAGGCGGAAGAAACAGCTGTCCAGTACTCCCAGGCAGGTTTTCCAATGGTTCTCTAACTGATTTCAGCTCAAGATGAGATCATTCAACTTATCAATATTTATGTAGAGAGGGAGGAAATCTGGCTTGTGATAGAGTTCGAACCAGCGGTCTCTAGATTGGTCCTTTGCATTAATAGTAGTGTATCAGTGCAAGACTATTTAAAAGTTGTCTATATCATACTGAAGAGTGTGAATCGTAGGTGATAAAGATTCCTAATCAACAACAGTGATACAAGGCATCAATCACCATAAATAGAAGCAGTTTGACGGGAGTTCTTTCACTTACCTCGATAGCATCGTTTCAATCATAGGCAGCAGCACGATTGTGGTTCATATAGATAAGCATGCCAAATGGAGGATCGGAAACTTAATATGGTGGATATGCATTGATCTGAAATCAATGGGGAAATCTACCGCACTCTAAGTATAAGGTGTGCGTCGGTGGCACAGTGGTTAGGACTCTCGCCGACCATGCACATGGTCCGGGGTTCGAGCCCACGCTGACGCACACCTGATATCTATTGTCGGCCTGCGAAATTTGGGTCACCGATATCCATGCTGAAAATTTCATACTTGTACCAAAAATACGATGTGAAATCAAGCTGTAATCAAAAATAAATAAAATGAAAATAAAAAATAAAATAAAAATAAGGAACAAGATTTGGATTTTCGATGTTAATATCAAGTTAGTACTTGTGTATGGTTCAGAGACTTAATGCGCACATGGCGGAAAGTATTTCCAACAGACTTCCGCACACTTTCATGAACAGCTACCGTCACTTGACACTGAAGATCAGATGGCTGGCCTGAAAGGATAAGCAACAAGGAACTCTAGCAACAAACCATCCGAGAACCTACTGGCTAACAAATATGCTGAAGGCAATAGGAGTGAGTTGCAAATAAGCTGAGAAGTTCATTGAGTGACATAACTTGCTATTCAGGCTTTTGAGTGGGAAACGATGAGTTGACCATAGCTTTGAAGGTTACATAGAGGATATTATTGTCAGGAGGAGATAAAAGTTTATGAGCGATCGTGGAGCCAGCTAAAAAGGACTGCAGCGAACGGAGTAAAATGGAGGTGTGATGCGGAAGCCGTATACTCCGCTCAGAATCCAAGAGTGCAGTATTAATAATCGTGGTATCGCTTTATATCTATTGTCTTTATTTTTGTTTATCCTCTTGAGGT